AGGATCACGTTATGACTCCTTTCGAACTATCAGAACACAGCAAAGTAAAAGGGAGGAGAGTATGGGTAGGCTGTTTTCAACTGTTTCTTTGGTTAGAAGATGATTTCGGTCAGGAAACCATCAATATTACTTATACAGTAACATTTGTTTATAGATAAATCTTAAAAGAAATATAAATTTTAAAATAAGAGAGATAAATTTTAAAAGAAATATTTTAACATTTATTTTAATATTTTATCATTCATTTTTAATAGATCAGGTCGAAGTGATATTTTGCGTAAAAAACCACTGTATAATGTATCTAGGTTGTTTCAAATGTATATTGAGCTATGTTCACAACAAAATCTTGAATTGATACTTTCTGTAAAATTCATTCAATTACTCAAACAGGGTCGGAAATTTCAAAGAACGAACACGGAAAGTTTGTCATATAAACACCGTGCGAATTCTTTCCGGTCCAGGCTTGCAAAGTAAGTATAATTAAGTATTAAGTAATTACTGTCCATTGCTTTAAAATTTTAAATCTATCTGCTAAATAATGAACTATGTAAACAGGCAAAAGAAAGACTCATACAACCAAACTAATGTAACTCTTACTTTTTAAAAAATGGGGTAAATTAAACTAAAGTTCTTTGGTTATTTGTTGAGCATTAGATAAAAAACCATCAGCTTAAAAAGATAACAAGTAATTAAGAAACTCAAATCGTAATATGGCTCAGCTACCGGTTTGAAGCCGTATGCAGCACCATCGGAGAGTTCCATCTGGTGGCAAGGGCGCTGAGGATGCCATTCAGGCTGAAGCGTAGAGCTAGGAGTGGGGCACAACGCCTTGTTATTACACTAATGGTGAGATTGACATTCATTCGAGTCAATGATTCATTTGCCTTTATTCATTTGTTTTTATTTTGTTTTTTTTTTCATTCGTTTTGAAATCCAAGCGACTACCGTGTTCTCACAGGAGTTCAAATAAGGAATCTACAAGGAAAACCATTTAGTTTCCGTGAAGCAGTTGTAAATGATAACCAAGACTTTGCATTCACGTTCCCCACTATTTTACCGCAAAGCAAAAAATAAGTTTACAGCTAGATGACAGAAATATATTGATAGCAGGGGTGCATTTTTTTTATTATATACCTTATAAATGTTATTTTCTTAAGTAGGTACTTTTTGTTTGAATTCTCGTATCGGCAATTTTATATTTTTACCCTTTAATAAATAACATCTTTTTTCTGAAAATTGGCCGCCGACTCTACTCTCTTATTTTTAACCGACTTCAAAAAAGGAGGTTCTCAATTCGACTGTTTTTTTATGTTACGCAATTCCTTTGTGAACCGATTTCGATAATTCTTTTTTTTAAGAGGGTACCTTAGTATTAGTTCCATTTAAATTACGACGAGGGCGATCTACTGGGGATCTTCTTGTGTATGCCTGTCACATATGGAGCGAGGCTGTAGAAAAGCAAGGCGAAGAACTTGCAGTGTCTTTGGAAATTCCTAAAGCCTTTGACAGGGTCTGACACGCAATCCTTTTAAGCAAGTTTCCCTCTTATGGGCTTTATTGACCTTTGCTATTGGATCTCGGATTTCTCGAGCGAACGTTCGATTTGAGTGGTCTTGGAAGGCTACTCTTCCGAACATATGGCGATAGATGCCAGAGTTCCTCAGGGTTCCGTACTGTCTGCAACTCCCTTTCTGCTGCATATCAATGATATGTTAATTCCGGGTACCTTTGCGTATGCTGTTGACAGCACAGTTGTAGATAGGTAGTTGACCAATGCATGGGTCAGTGGAGAGGAAATCCAGTCTTATCGAGAGTCCGTAGTTAGCCGCTTGGCTTTAACGCTAAAGGCAGTCTCCGATTGGGGCGATGCCAATCTTGTCACATTTAAGGCCACCAAAACGCAGGCATGTCTATTCTCCACAAAACGGGGTCCCTTTCACCTCACTCCGACTTTCGTGATGTATCCATACCATTAGCCGACAGTGTCCAGCTATTTGGAATGGACCTGTCGTCCAATCTGAACTTCGGCAGATACATTGAATCCATGGTCAAAAATGCAACCAGGAAGCTTGGCATCCTTTCCAGGGTGAGGCGTTACTTTACACGGGAACAGTTGCTTCAGCTGTACCAAGCACAAGTCCGGTTGTGCATAGAGTGCTGCTGCCACCTTTGGGATGGCTCTGCTACAAAACAACTGGCACTTTGGATTCAATTGACTTTGAATGATGGAATTAGTTGAGGCGAAGCTGCAGAGCCTTGAACACCGCCGGAAAGTTGCCTGCTTATCGGTATTTTACAGGATATATCACGGAGAGTGTGCCATGGAATCACACAATTTAATTCCGCCTTCCCCTTTACATCACCGGGGGACTAGGCGTAGGTTTGGGTTCCACCCCTACGCACGAAGCGTTACGCTTCCACATTTATATGGCGAACGGCTACGAAGTGGAATTCTCTGCCTGCAGACTTGTCCCTGAACGTTATAACTTGGGTCTTTTCAAGGCGAGAGTGAATAGGCATTATTTAAGCGTGGATGCTCCATCATCGACCTCATCGTCACTTTCCATCAGGTGAGATGGAGGTCAAATGCGTAGTTACAATTTGTAAAAAAAAAAGTTTTAAAATATTCCACTTCTAATGGCAGCAAACTAGAGGATGAATCCTATTTCGCACACTTACCGGTAACCGATTTGAATAAAACATGGCAAAAATATATAATTCCAGGAACTTTTGATGTCGGTTTTTTTAATAAAATAGTTATTGCTAAACTTCTTTTTGGTAATCTTCTTTCCTTTCGCATTTTTATCACATCGATAAGTATTGGTTTTTGGTAAGTTAGTTTGTAATATAATTACAATGCTAGTTACTTTATAATAATACAAAATATATTTAACTGCCTCAGTGGCCGAACGGTTACCATGCCGGACTGCCACGCAGTGGCCCCAGGTTCGATTCCCGGGCCGGGAGAAATATTTGTATAGCCTACATTTATTTCTCTCGTGAGTTTGGGTGTAATTTGTGGTTGTCTATGTGTGTGTCCATAGCACCCGCGACACAGGGTTTCCCTAGTGCGGGGCTATGTTGAGTGTGTGCGTTATTATTGTTATTATTATTAATAATACAAAAATATTATATTTTTGTATTTGTATTTTGACGCTTTTTGACGTAATAGTAGGTTACGTAATACCGTTAGTTATTCGAATATTATTGTCTCCTATGTGGTCTTGTGGTTATAATTCAGGTAAACGTAATGATAATAGCTGGACTTGGTGACAGTGCAAGACGAATGTCGTCTGGTGGACGCCCCGCCGCGCTGCTGCCGCAGCCTGAGAACGGCGCTCGGTCGTAGAGAGGGCGCGGGCGCGGGCGCAGTAAAAACCACTAGATCAGTATCGACTGCCACGACATCAATCTTCGTGTCGGAGCTGAAGCCGCGCCTCCGACCCGCGACGCGCCACCATTTGTCACTAGTGCCTTTAAAAAATGATTGAGGCACAAAAGACTGATATGACAGTCACTCTGGCTGAACGGTTTGTATTCAACTTACGTTATAAGTCAACATGTTACAATTTAGATGGAGTCGTTGAGTTATGGAAATTATTCAGCGTCTTGAGGCAGGTTCTTTTGTGCGAAAACACAGCGAAGACGGGGCAAAACGGACGCGAAGCCGTGGAACTGGAACACTCGAGCTCAGACAAAATGCCAAATTTAATCAACATTGACGGTCGACTCGCCTCTCTTTTTTGTTACAATTTGTTCAATTGTTCACCTGTCGTTCCTCTCTCTCGCTATCACTTTATTTCGTTTGCTACTGACTTCGTTTTCCACACGGTTGAACCGATAACCGTGGTGACGACCCGTCAACTGCTTGTGCGCGCCCCGTTGGCATGTTGCTGGGTGCGGCACGTTCTCACACCGGCGAAATCCTAAAAATCCCTGCGAGCGGTCGCGGAGTCGGTTCCCATCGGTCGAGCGAGATGTCCACAGATAAGGTCGATAAATTTAATTAAATGTCTCCCAGTGTACACGAAGGCGCGGGGCGAGCGCGACGCAGGCAAATTTGTTTGGTGGTGAGTTGGGTCCACTTGTAGCAATTAAGCGCGGGGCGCGGGGCGGCCGGCGGCGGCGCGTCTCAAAGACTCCGCGCAAGCGCGCGTCCGCAAAAAATGTCGCCTCCAAGTTTCGACGGCGGACACTTTGTGTCCAGCTATTCCCGGAGCCCTCGTTTCGCTCCTTTTGTTTAGTCCCGCACATAATTGAACTGGCCGCAAGCTTTTTCTTCCTGATGGAGTGCCCTCCGTTCAAGGTTGCGATCGTTATGGCGACCCGCTCAAGGACATCGCGCAGCTTTTCACTGATCGCTCTACCGCGTAATTAATTTGCTCATAAGTCAATTATATTGTTATTCTGATTTGGAAGGCATGCGTTAGAAACAAGGACGTGTAATGAATAGTCCTAGCCTCTGGGTCGCGGCGCGGCAGGGGGCGCAGGCGCGGCGGCCGGTGACGGATGGCGCACGATTGCTGTTGTGACACGCCGTACGCCTGCGCTGCCGATCGGTCACTGGCCAGCGTGCCCTCTAAACGTCTTCATAACTCCAGGTCCGATTAAGCAATCACTTAAAGAACACATCTATACCGTATTACCTCTATGGAAGTCCTCAAGGTAAACAAACACGAAATATGAATCAACGTTATTACGATTTGTATTTCATATTTTATTTTTAGGTATCGGAACGAGTCATAAATAAAAACGACGAGTTAAAAAACAGTAATATAATTGTCTTTCTGAAAAACAAATGAGCAGCGACATCGGCAGCTGTTGCGCCATTATTTGTCAAGGCGGTAAAAACGGTAGAAAGGAATGCATATTTGATAGCGCGCGCAGGCGCACCATGCAGCGCGCGCCGGTCGTGAATATGCATAGCGCGACACTGCTACGATTCCACCTCACCTTGTTACCTCTTACAGTGGTGCATATACGTATAGGGTCGTGTATACCTCTGCATACTCTAACTGCAACGAATTTGACCGCGTCTAGCTTGGCGAAGCTGATGATGACAGAGCGTCGTCCGGACAGCGGCATGCACGGCTCGCGGCTGCTGCGCCCGCGCCGTCGCCGTCGCAATGCTGCAAATTTGTCAAGATTGCATTACAACACTTCACTGTTCACTGTCTGGATAGTGGATTTTTAACATTAATTTTAGGCTTTGCGGTAATGTTAATCGTTTACATTTCCCTTATCACCGTACATATTCAATAGTAGGTAGGTACTACAGTCTGTCTTTCTTGAAGACGGAGTAAAATGACAGTTCATTGTGCAAGAGTGTTGCCCGCTTGCAAGCAGCTAGAGATTGCAGTCGATGAATATTATATCGACTATCGACTAAATGTTGGTCACACTTATGAACTAAATAGCCGAACTTGTTTCGTTTTAATCATCATCGGTCAATTATTCATCCGACTGCTGGGCACAGGTTCATTTGAATTGAATACACTAACTTTAGCTGTAGGAGTATCAAAATACAAATAGGAGACATATTTTAAAGTTTTTCATTTGAATTTAATATACATAATCGAATCCGCCCGTGTTATTAAAATGTGTATAACTAAAAATTGATTTCGTTACTAATAGACCAATAGTATAATAAAGAGACCAAAATAATAATAAAGAATGAAGAAATTACAACGTCGTAACATCCACAATTCAGACATGTTTGGCAACAGTTTACCTACTTTACCAACTTATCAATAAAATTGTCGACAACAACTACATTATTTAAACTTTTACGAAAACTGGCAACCCTGCAAATGTCATTTTACTCCACCTTAAAAAAAGAGCGACTATAATAAGGTAACGCTGTCAAAGAGTCTGCTCTGTGCCTGAGCCTACTTCGTGCTTAATGGATTCGGAATAGATGTCTCTCTCGGGCAGCGGCGCATTTTTTGCTCGCGCATTCCTGTAAGTACCTACACGTCCACTATGTTTCGAGTAGATGTGTACCAACGCCTTACGATTGAATTAAAACAATAGTATTTTTTTATAATATCAAGAGACGGGACGAACAAGCCGTGTGCCTGGTAATAAGCTACACGCCTGTCCATAACAGCTGCAGGGCCGCTCAGAGCTTTGAATCGCGAAGTTGTAAGCTCACAAGCCCCATGTACCTGTAATTTCACCAGCGCCCTTCAGAATCGGAACGCAGTAATGGTCACATTACTGCTTGGCGGCAGAAAATGCGATAGTGGCAGTACTTCCCTTGACGAACTCTTTCACAAAGAAATCTACTGCTACTAGCTACTAATATAAAAGTCCATTGTCATAGTCAAATAATCTTTATTTCATAGGTAAGCAAATTACATGTGATATCGTCATACCTTTATACACTACAACTCATTCATAAGGCCGATTCCGAGAAGAAAGAGAAAGAAACTCTAGGGGTTGCTCTTTGCAAATGTACATTTATCATTACAATAAGTAATTTAAACATCGTAGATCGAGGCTACCTCCAAGAGCTAAACGGGACACTACCACGGATTTTTGTCATCCAAGTAAGCTGTATGTATAATAAAATAACCTTTTGTATAAAGTTTTTGTTTCACTATAGTTTTAAACCTCATTGAAAATTGTAATATATTGTCTAGTTTTAAAGTTTAGTACATTAACTAAACTATAGTGTATCATTTAATCGCTATCAAATGAATATAAGTCCTTGCTGTTGTATTATAATTCGCGTGTCTTTTGTTCGATCACGTTTGTCGCATCTGCCGCGCGGGTAACTCCGCAGGAACGGAAATTAATCCGAAACGTTATCCTTTTATCGCTCTCTGTTTTTTATCGCACAGTTTTATAATTTTGTCAAATCAACCATTTAATATGGTGATGTCTTTCCTGCCCCTACGCGGAAGTAAATTACGTCTTTATCGTGAATTCCCCATCGTGTGTTCGGGAACAATTTATGTCGCCGCTCACAGCCGCCACTGCTGGACGCTGTCTTCAGCGGGGTCCGGGGCCGCGGTGGGCTCGGGCGGGGGTGGCGCCCCAGGAGCCGCCACACGATAAATAATGACGTATAATAATTGATTAATCACTGTGCTCCCGGCCAGGCGATGCTATCGGCACATTCCGGCCCTCGGCCGCTATAAAGATGAGTCGCTAATTAATTTAAATGAGTGGAGACCGCCTGGCGGTGCACAAAAACGGGGCCGGGCGGAGGCCGCGCCGGGCCGGGGCCGGCGGGTCAGCAGCGGGGCGCTATCGCGACATCGCCGCATCGACACGACCGAATTATATTGATTTAAGTAGATGATATCGAGAGATCCACCGAACCTCTCTAGTCATGTTATGATTAGATCATCTTGATACTTTCTATCTGGCTATGTTATAAATAACTGAAAAACCTTAAACTCTTTTATACCCGTAGGTAAGAAATGAACAATTACAAATGACTAACTTGGATTATAAGCAAGGTTATGAAGTTTAAAATACATTTTATGTACATGGTGTATTAGTTTCATCTTTTTTTTGTTTCTTTCCTTTTTCGTTTGTAATGTATTTGCCTAGATGGTGAATGTACGGTCAAAGGTAAGTAGCCTAGATTTATTATTTTAGACTCTTAATAAATAAAGTTCTTTTATTAGTATTCTATACCAAATAACAGCACGAGCAAGTAGGTACGCCTGGTGGTATGCGACACGCCTGTCCATAACAGTCGTAGTGCCACGCTAAGTTTTAAAACACAAAATCCAAGGGGCACTGCCACTGCGCCTGTTACCATGTCATGGGACTTGTCAATTTATGTCTCAGGGTAACCTGCTGGTAATTTAGTCACGTTTTTGACAACAAATATGTTTATAGTAATTTTGGGCGAAGAAATACATACAATTGTTTCACACAGCGATGTAAAGGACATTCGGCAATGATCACTAGATCAGTACAAGCCTATTCTCAGACATTGTGATCTCGAACATCTTGAATTTATGCCATAGTCACAATAGTAGAATGTCATTTAGGTTACAGAATATATCAACAACTCGTTTATTGAAACTGTTGGAGGCGTTTAAGGATATCATTAGATCGTAGTTATTTATTTAATCTTTCTTGTACAAAACAAGATAGTATAATGGCGGACTTAACTCGATAAGGTATCTTACCAGTTAAACTTGAAGCCAAACAGAAAGAACAACAGAAACTAAAACTAAACGCTATACTTAAAAACAATCATTTAATTCCTCAAATAACGTCTTCTTGACGTATCGGTGGCATACACTGTAGCTTAGTATCAGTAGAGCTCCTTGTGAAAGAGTCCATCCAGGCAAATTTATTCATATGTATATATGTGTATAAATTTTACCTATTTCTGCCACCAAGCAGTAAAGCGAGCATTACGGCGTTCCAGTCTGGAAGGGTAAGGGTGCTGGTGAAATTACAGACACATAGGACTTGTCAACTTATGGACTCGGGTGACGGGCGCAGTGGCAGTGCACTGAACACTGCAACTGTTATGTCGCTTGTTGTTATGCATGTCGCTTACCACCAGGCGCAAGACTAGTTTGTCCCGTCACTTGGTATTATAAAAAAACACTTTATATATGCTAGATTATTTTCGCGTTGTACAGCGCGTACGAGTAGACAGTAGCCGCCATACTAAAGTGTGGGACATGTTCGCCACCATGATGAAAGAGTTTGCGAATCAGCGAATCATTGTATACGCCATTGCGAGGCGGCTCCTTCCGTGCACTCCAAATAGCAAAATAATAAGTCTTTTGCGATTTTATTAATAATAATAATAATAATAATAAAACTTTTATTTCAGGCTTAAGCCCATAGAGTTAGTTACAAGTTATCTTAGAACTAGTGTTAGTAGGTTTGACAAAAATTAAATAAAACTATAAATTACTGCCTGGTGTGAAGCTGCACCCAATGTTGCAACATTGGGAAATCCCACCTGTCTACAAACACACTCAGGAGTCCGTTGTTGCTGCAGCGGAGACGGGCTAACATGGAGGCGCAGCGTTTTCTCATTAGAGCAAAGAAGTCATCCACATGCGCCTCTGCAAACATCCCCGAAGCACTGCAGCTTATTAAATAAATATTTATTTGCGAAGTGCAACTGGATGATACAATTTTAACATTGTTTTGATCGCAAAAAACAGTAACCAAATAATTAAAAAATCCAATATATTTCTTTAGTATTTTATCTTTTTATAGTCTACAGGCACATGGGTTATTATGGAAACCTTAATCTGATCTGAGACTACGAACTATCCAACTCCTTAACTTCTCCTTCTTATCGTATTGATGGCATACACATACACTATATTATAATGCTTGCCATCGTGGCGTAAGGATTCGCCAATCGGTGTATGGTACTCACTTATGTGGTCTGTGGTACTCACCGATTATTGCCCAGGGTGTGCCAGGAAATCTGCAGGAAACGTATGGTACGTCATGCGGGGAGGTTGGATGATTACTATCGCATTTGGGCTCATTCAGCTGTAACTTTACAAATAGTGACTTTATTGACTTTTTAAACTTTTCAGAAAAAGGAGGAGAATTGATGAAGTGAACCTCAGTAGTGGTCTCATTGAAATTTGAATAAAATATTCCACCTCTAAGGGTGGCCAATTAGGGGACGAGTCCGGTTTATGGATTTGACCCGCTTTCCGTTAACCGATTTCAATAAAACTTGGCAAATATATGTAATTACATAAACTTTTGAGTTAGATTTTTTTATAAAAATTATTCATTTTACCCTTTTGTAATTTTTTTTGAGTTACGGCTTGGCAACAAATTATTTCTGTTCTAATATATTACTGTTAATTGTTTTGTAGACCTTATCGTGTAGTAGGTAGCGCGGCTAGTACAGAGTAGAACAACCCTTTCTTGATTGAGAGCGGTCGCTCGGTCGGTAGTATCTGACGTACACAGGCACAAGAAGGGCTAGAGAGCGGGTGGCGAGCTTGGGAACAATATAAAAACATAATATATAGACTTTCAGTTTGTTTTTGTTTCCGACTTGTATTATAAACAGATCGCTACTGAGTTCCATAAATTTATTTATTGACAAATAAGTCATTATTGCTAAATAATAGTGTCAGACAACCTAACCACGAACTGTCTCCTTAGTCAAACGGTTACCGTGCTTGTCTGCTAGGCAAAGTTCCCGGGTTCGATTCCCGGGCCATGAGAAATATTGATATGGCCTACATGGTCAGGCTGTCAGTAGAGCTCGTTGAGAAAGAGTTCGTCCACGGAAGTACTGCCACCTTACTTAATTCTGCTGCCAGGCTGTAATGTCAGCATTTTGAAGGGCTGGTGAAATTACAGGCACATGGGACTTATCACCTTATGTCTCAGGGTGACTGGCGCAGTGGCAGTGCCCCTCAGAACTTTGCAATTTAAAGCTCTGAGAGGCACTGCAACTGTTATGGACAGGAGTGTAGCTTAGCATCAGGCACACGACTCGTTCATCCCATCAATTGAAATTATAAAAAAAAACTTCATTTTAACTATAGTTCTATGTGTGTGGCCATGGAACCTGCAACACTGAGTTTCTCTAGTACGGGGCTATGAATGTGTGCTAAAAGAAACGGGTATCATAACAAAAAAATTAACCCAAAACGCCCTGACCATAATAAATACCCACACACAAGTTGTTCACAGTCACAATACGTGTGCTTTGTATCCTACGCCATGTTATGTGCAGTGCTTTTGCCAAACGTTCTCACCCGTGCCTATTTGCATACCTGTACATCCTCAAATAATATGACGCTGAAGCTAAACGTTGAAAAGCGTGTCACGAACTGCTGGCACCGCTTAAGCATGTCCTGTAGATTGTAATGTAACCTGGAGCGTTCCTGTTGCTGTCTTTGTGGAAGTTTGTCGAAATTATTTAACTTTTCCAGAAAATGTGTGTGATGTATGTGTATAAACACGTTACATCGTCAAACTAATATGATGAGAGAGAGCACGTGTGCTCGCTGCAGGAGTTTAGTAGAGAGCGACGACGGAACGAAACAAAGCGACAATGAGGAGAGAAAGGAATTAAAGAACGATTCAAAATTTGAAAATAAGTGGTCAGGAACCAGAGAAAAGGTGATAAAAAGGCGGGATGACGACGGAGGAGGTCGCATCGTACAACAGTTCAATTATAACATGCAAATGATTATTTATCCATTAATTAGTGGCAGTAGAGCTCCTTGTGTGTATTGTTGTAGGGCTTTTTTTGTACAATGTAATTTCAAGTTTCGCTGTTAACTAAATGGCAGACTTGACTGGTGGTCGGCATTCACATGTATTGCGTTGCTCCTGTAGAAACTACGATGCCTTCACCGCGAGTCTGGTATGTATCCTAAAAGTGCATCCGGTAACCTCCAGGTCAGTGACGTATAAGAGACAAGTCCGTGTGCCAATGTACTTTCAAAAACTCTTAGTGCAGTGTATTAGCTCTAAGTATACTTAAAGTATAATAACCTTTTATATGTGTAACTGATAAAAGCATAAAGCATATCTGTAAACTCGTAACGTAAACTCGGGGAAGTAAAATACTAGCTCTTCATAATGTACCCTTACATTTAACCTTAACGTTGTAACATATTATAGCTTTACATTTAAATAAAACATCTGGTTATTTCTACTTGTAACTTGTTTTAATTGTGTGTAAGGCACCCTTCTTTCTCTTTGCTTATACATTTTACACGCAGCATCGGGCCAACCAGAACTCACGCACAACCATCAGTCTCATGCTCACTCAAATCGACTGGAGCTGACCAGGGTAGTACTGCCACCTTGCCTATTTCTGCAGCCAAGCAATAATGTCAGCATTACTGTATTCCAGTTTTGAAGGGTACGGGTGCTGGTGAAATTGCAGGCACATGGAACTTGTCAACTTATGTCTCAGGGTGACGGGTGCAGTGGTAGTGCCTCTCAGATCTTCGCAATTTAAAGCTCTGAGTGGCACTGCAACTGTTATGGACAGGCGTGTAGCTTACGATCAGGCGCACGACTAACGTTCGTCCCGTCACTCGATGTTATAAAAAAATTATTATTATAATTAAATACATATTTAAAATTACTTTTTTATAACACTAAACGACAGGATGAACATGTCGTATACCGGGGCGCGACTTGCGAGAGCGACATAAAGCCCACGATCTCTATGCAAGTAGAGCAGTATCTCGCGCAAGTCGCGCCCCATCGTTATAGCCCTACAGTAACCATGGTTATCATACGCTTGTCCATAGCAGTTGTGATGCCACTTTAGAGTTGTGAATCGCAAAGATCTGGGAGGCACTACCACTGCGCCCGTCACTTTGAAAGATAAAGTCGAAAGTCGGTAAGTGTCGTATTTCAGAACTCTACTCAATACTCGAGTCAGGACTTGAGTATTGCAGTGAGCACTGAAAATCATACTCAAGTCCTTGCCATTAGGATCGTATTTCCAGCGCTTGAAATCATACTCAAGTCTGCTCAAATCTTGACTTGAGCATTGAGTAGAGTTCTAGAATACGACTCTTAAGTCTCATATGCCTATGTTTCACAAGCGCTTTCCCTTCAAAAGCGGAACGCAGTAATGCTCACATTACTATCTTAACTTTAAGTTTACTTATTTAAACCTGTTAAATTTAGATACTAAGTATTTTATGTAAATCAGAGGTCTTGTACCCCGCGACACAGACTCGCCCTGCGTGAGGACCACGATAAAGTTGTTGATATCAATCTGTCTAACCTATTTATTTTTTCTATCACGAAGATCAATTCAAAATCCGTAGCTCTCTATTTGTTTCCCATGCTCCAGTCACAATGAATAATGTGGTTCATGTCTCACTCGCCCTTTATCGTGCTTTTACACTTCCAAAATATGACTCAACAAGGGTTAATTATAAATCTCGAGCCCGAACACCACTAACCGTTCGATGACAAACTAGAAAACCTTGATATCCCAGTTCTCGGAATTGAACGTTGCTGTATCTGTCCAACGAATCAAATCGGCGGCAGACGAGTATGGGCTCGGCTATTAGACACGATTCCGCGTAAAGCTTTCAACGTAAATGTTGCCACCGGCCGTCGGTCGTGGAGTCGAGCGCGTGTGAACCATCGCCACCTCAACGCCTTATCTTATCGGAGCCGCAGCAGCCGCGCTTTAAAACCACTTTGTTCCTTTAAACAGCATCGTAATCGTTGCCGCGACATTATCGAGGTGTCTCCTCAAAAACAAGCCGCAATTAATTAGCCCCCGCCGTCCCGCACCCCGCTCTCGCGTCAATGCGGTCACGATTTAGAAGTTTTAATTGTAGCCGGCTATTTGTGTCAGGTAGCCGCTTTTTAGTAGCGAGCCGCTCGCTACCGTGGCGATCAGATCAAATTAATTCACTTATGTATCGTTCGCCGTGTATTTTTCGTCTTGAAACTATTTTTACGACCGAAGTGTCGCAGACTATTTATTGTTGTAGTTATTCGATTTGTTTCTGATAATTGCTGCTTCCTGGAGAGCAACGATTGTGCCTCTCTCATAATAATTCCACAGGATCGTGTGCTGAGCGATAATGCGGCCATTAGGAGCCATGACGGAGAGCGGCCCCCTCGATGGCCGCTCCATGTTAATTGTCGGTAATTGTCAGCCGAGGACATAAGTCACCGCGGCCTGCACGGCGGCGGCAAGATGGCCGGCGGATGCAATAATTGCTTTCGTGGAAGCGGCCGTTGCCGCACCGCCCGCATACAGATTGCAGCGACCGCAAAAACGCCGCTCGGCAATTAGACGGCCCTCGCTTGCCGCAGCCCGCGCCCTGCGGCACGCCTCTCGTTCTCATGTCGCAGCCTATTAGCCTCCAACCGCCGGCCTCCTGCCGCTGCACTGCCAGCAGAGCCCACTAAAAGGATATCTTCGCTCCAAATTAACGACACCAATGATGCCCAGAACGGCAGTATCAATGACGAGCAAGAATGTATTTCTTAAATTAATTATTATCCAAGTCGCGGTAGATCGCGGTCGCTGTGACAACTAGTCCAATGAGCCGCGTCGCATTCCGCGCGTGCGCCGCCGTGGCATTGTTGTTAATCGGTCATAAATTAATTGCCTACATTCGCTAACTCCGCACTCCTGTATATTGCACACTATATCGAAATAACAAGGTAATATCTCGTAGTACACCCGACGAAATTGGCATTCTTCAGAAAACAATATATATCTTGCACCGCCATTTGTCAATAATATTGTAAATAGATAATAATAGGTACGTAATATAATGCAAAACGAACTCGGTTCTGTGATTAATTCTTTATACAATTCTAATTAGTTAGGAACTGGTAAAAAGCACAGGTTTCGATGCATTCCAAATATCAATTAAGTCACGATTCTAGAAAACACACAGCTGTCAAGTCAGTTCCATGAAAAAATCGTAGGCCTTGGGCTGCAGCCGCCGTGCTGATTGCGACATATTTCTTTTTCATATTTGC